TTACAAAATTGCTATTTTTGAAATTTGGCCACGTGGCGCAGAAATAGGAGGTCTTTAGACCGAGCCAACCATAGTAAAAAAGTGTAAAACTTACGTCGGCACTGTAAGATTTACACAATATTACGTTGGCATCATAAGATTTATGCAAGTTTACGCTAAATTAATTTCCTGATGGTAAGTAGCAAGTGAACATATCAATCACCAGGAATCTCATCATCTTTATCAACTTCTACATCAATTTCAACTGAATTCTTCACTTCTCCTACTATCACTACTTCCACTATCACTACTATTAAGTTATCTTTATTATTATTATCTCCAACTGTAAGTTTATACAATTATCATTTTTATTTATTGATTGATTTTAATCAGCTATTTGTTCATTATTCTTTATTATTGTATCAACAGTTATAATGATGTCAACAAATTTTAGTCAATGTCAACAACTCCTTCTTCTTCTGCACCAATGACCCCACCACATCCTACAATTATTTTTTTATTTGATTGTTGCTATTAATGAAAATGATAATGGCACAAGATCAAATTCCTACATGATAATGGTGATTATCATATTAATAATGGCATATGTCTTTTCAAGATGATGATTTAATAAAAATATTTATTAAGTAACTATGAAATGTTGTTGGCCAACAAGTGATTAAGTCATGTGTTTTTATAATATTATTGGTAAAGATGGCTCTGCAACTAGGAAGTTGCAATTCAAAAAAATATTGACATCTAATGCTGCAACTGCTGCAACTGCTGTAAGTTTGCAATTGCTGCAACTGTCTGTAATTGTCTGCAACCTCTGGTCAGCTACTTTGATCACTATAAAATCAAATTTATTTTTATCAAAAAAATTTTTTTAATTAATGATTTTATTTAAAAACAATAAATCCCATTTTGCAGTTATGTGATTCCATTTTTGATACTAAATCATCATAATTATAGTTGCAGACAGTTTCAGACAGTTTCAGGGGTTGCAGAGGCTGCAGAAAAGGTTGTTTAAAACCTGTAGTTGCAGAAAATGTGAAAACAGTTACAGACACCAACTTTAATTACTGGTACAGTTCAACAATCAATTTCTTGTTCGTCAAACAATCGTGCAACAGGAGAAAAAAATTTGCACGCGTTTAAAGTTTGGTATAAGAGAAAAAAAATTATATAAAATGTTGCTGTTACTAGGTTAGGTGGTAGGGGAGGGTAGGGAAAATTAAATCTATTTTAACGTTGGATTCAATTGATGTTTCTGTCATAATTTAGTAAAATTGAAATTACGTGTAACACTATTTAATATTAATAAATTGATCTTTAAAAATTTTTTTCGCGATCCGCGGACATCCATTCATCCATACATCCATACATCCATTCATCATCCTCTAAAATTTAATCCGTCATCCGGTCATCACACAAATAATACATCTGTCAGATCAAACGGATTGAACGGATAATAATAATATAAATTAAAAGTATTAATATAATAATAATAATTTTATAATAATCCATAAATTTGGTTTAATAAAATTTAGTAGAAAAATCATAGAGTATTATTTAGAGATAAACAAAGCTTGAAATGCCCCTTATAAGCTTTATAACCTAAGTCAAAAGAAGGATGAAAGGAAGCAGTTGTTTGCAAACTGAATTTAAAATGACCCAATTTTCGTTTAGATAATACACGAGGCTTGCCCGGCCGATGGTTTTCGAGTGTTTCAAAGACGAATTGCAAAACCATTTTTAATCTCGAAAAAACCACAAAATTGCAACAACGCGTTTGAGCAATGAATTTATTTCGAATGAAAAAACTATGGTAACTATTGAAATTTTACGAGAAAATCTTTTCGCCTGGTGCGCAAGTCGTGCTTGCTTTACTGTTTCTGAGGATTTCAGTGACAAAGTGCAAAAACAGTTAAAAATGATTTGTATCAAATGTCAAAAAAAAAACAGATGGTCCAGCTTTTTTGAAAATTTCTGAAAACGTTTTGTTTGAATTTAAAATTTCGAGCTCAAAGTTTGGATAGGACCCCAAAAACTATATTAATATAGAAAGGTCGGTAACAAAAATCATAAGGTTTGATTCGCACTGTGATTGACTGATTAGGATAATACGTCTTCCAAATGCATTTTGACAAATTCAGAAACAATTTATATAAAAGTTGTTGTTTTTGAAAAAAATCAATCATAATATTTGAGGATAACTTTCATAACAATATGTGACTTTTTAATGCAATGGATGGTGGAATTGTAACTTAAAAGAATCTAAAATTGTTGAGACATTCCCAAAATTGGCTTGATGTGGATAATTTCACAACACAATAAAATTTGCATATTAATATTTAAATTATTCAAAGTCGTTTAAAAAATTACATGGTGCTGTTGTACGTGAAAATGAAATTATGTGAATTCGCAATTCACATATGTGAAATTCAAATTTACATACGTGAAATTCA